GGGAGTAGTTCCCTGATGCCGACTTCACACTCCTCCTGGCGCTGCCGCGCGGCCAGCCTCACGCCTAATCGTAGTCAAGACTGCGCCTCTCAGTCTACACTCTCTCACTTCTAGTTGTTCTCTGCCGCTGAGTTTATGCTTTGCTGCGGGGCCTTGGTATATGCGCGAGTGGTGCACCGTGAGAATAACGCGGGCGGAGTATGAGCCGGCAGCGAATACCACTACTTCCCAAACCAGTTGCTGTGCATGTCTGAGTGGAGAAAGTGCGCGCCATGGCAACTGAGGCCTTACATATGCCACATGGAAACGACCAGCTTTGGAAGAGAGGATACAGTTCGTCTTCGAGGGAAGCTTCTTTGTGAAGATGTCTAGGGACCAATAAAGACACTCCATTAGCAGACCGCACATGTCACACGGTAAATTACTTTGGACTATTCAATTCTATTCTCTTCAGAGTCCCTCTAACCGAAGTAGTTGGAATCACGGTTCACTTGTTGATGAAGAGGCTGAAGGGGTGGAGTTATGAGAAATTAAAATGACTCAAATCTCCAAACAGATGGACTGCTGGTGTCTTTCACCATCAAAGTGAAGTTGCTGCGGTGCAACAAGTGTATAAGTTAAGGCTTGTATCACTACAAATCCGTGCCAGCGAAGCATAGCGGAATTTTGCTAGCCTAGCCGCACGAGAAAATCCAGAGAAATTGAAAAGAAACCCGAGGGGTCAAAACTAGCGAAGTATTATGGAATCCGGTGTCATAAGAGGAAAGTGCACCCCTGAAATTTATCCTGTGCTGGACCAGTAGTTGTGCAGTTGTGCATAATGGTGTTCTCCAAATGGAATGTAAAAGATTCGTTCAGAGGTCTAAAGAAGGACGAGCAGAAAAAGTTGTGGTTGAGGCCGCAGGCTGTTCATCTTGCACAAGAAAAGTGAGGTGATGATGTCAAGCACAATGTCTGATCACAGAGGCTGGACAGTTATCGTACATCTGCGAGACTGACATCCTCGCTGCAAAGCTTACTCGACTTATGTCCGAAAAATCTAAAGTGGCTAAGAGGGTATGCGTTTGGATACCTCATTTTTTTGTAGAAGCACGAACACAGTACCTATTCTATGCATGTGGCAGCGATTTCCATCGCCTAAGACATCATTCACGGCTCTGAAATCCACCGTGGTCTCAGACAAAACATGTTGGGCTCGTACTCGGAGCCGAAACCCACAAGCGTCAATTTGCATGAATGCAGATGAGAATCAGCCCGAGTTCTGTCATCAACAGTTGCGTGATTTCAAGCGCATTGTCATCACAGCAGTAGAGTTGGGAGCTGTGGCCTTCAAGCGGCACTATACAGAGATCAAGACCGTCATTGTCGATGTATGTGCCTGTTACTCGAACTCAGATCGACACTGGATGGCACCACAGAAGTACAAGAAGACCAACATCGTTCTTCACAGTGCCAGGCCCCGAGTAAGCGTATTAGTGCTCGGACACGAACAATACTGAGAGCTGGATTCAACCCGCCTTATTCGCGTGACACTGCTGCCGTGAAGCTTCACCTATTTGGGTCAGTCAAAGGTAGTGCCCAGCAGTAAACGCTGAAACGTTTTTGTTTTTTTTTTGGAGAAGAGTGTGGTAGTGGTCCAAACGCTCCATGAGCACTAAATGCGGGTCACTGATGAAAGAGGGATCTAATTAACTCAAAGCCAGCATAATAATTTTTTTTACATCTTCTTTACTTTTCGTTTTATTTGGATAGAACTCTTCACATTTTTGAATGTGATGGCCTAATATTGTGATTTTTCCGTTATGGACCGGTAGCCGATAAGTGAATGCCCAAGGAGGAAAAAAGCAAAAACGGAAAGAAACTTGGAAAACTTCCTAAACAAACCCCTCCCTGACAGTCAAACTTCCTCCCTACCTTTCCTCGTTGTACTAGTTCTCCGAACGTGCTTACAGAAAGAAACCCTGCAACATCTGTTCACCTTCTAGCTTAAGAATCGTTTCTCCGCTTCTTCTAGTGATAAATGTCATCTAATACAAAAAAACGAAAAACTGAAACACTGGAACAAACAAGTAACAGAAAATAGCCTTCAAATTCTGTGTGCGAAACTGGGATTGTGGTAAGCAATGCGCGACGAACTTCTGCACCACTAGGACGGAACTGAAAGATAGCATAGAACTTTGTGCAATTTCTAGACTACTGGAGCCAGACTGAATCTTATGCGCACGTCCTCATTACGGACGCTATCTATATGCGTAATGCTTTGTGTGATGGGCTGTTGAGCACTCGGTTTTCTCGCCGTGTGACCTGAGTCCAGACCAGGGAACATCATTGGTTGGGGATTTTTGCGGAGCCCGCCCCTTTTTGGGGGTAAACTTTGAAGTTTCTCCCCCCCCCTCCCCCGAGGAGGAAGAAACTTCATAAGTTTATGTATAAGTAAGCGCGAAAAATGGAAAAAGTAACAATCCTGAACGAGGCCCCCTCGCTTTTTGCTCATTTCTATCCTGATTCAGAAAAGAGAATAGAAAAGAAAGGCCATTAGGTTTCACCCACCTTTCCTCGAGTCAAAACAAACTCTGGTACCTGAATCAATTGCAATTAAAAGAAAAAAAAACAGGAAATTAAGCCAACTTCTCCTAAAAGCACTCTGAGTCCAAGCAAAATTGCTGGGGCGCGCTCTGACGCGTATTCGAGTAAACTGAGAAGAAGATAAATATTCGATATTCGAATAAACCGAGAAGAAGATAAACACGAAAGAGTAAATACGAACGAGAGCAAACCAGCCGCAATCAGCTGATTAAAGGCCGAGGTGCCGGAGGGATTCTGGGCAGGACCTCCAGCCGCAAGGTGGTTGCAGGTGGTTTGATTGGACTTTCAGGAAAGTGGGGTGTCTTTAAAGGACCATAACTTCCGTAATAGCGGACCTTTGGGAAAAAGAAGAACGCAGTGGTATGGAGAAAGATTTTATCTTTCCAAAACATACTAACATGTACATAAAGATCGCCGATTTCATGTAGAAATTTGCGTTGGGGAGTATTTAGGGAGTTCATTTTTTGGATAGTTTGCAGCGCGAGTTTTACAGGTTTGAACCGAAGATATTTCCCTTGAACCTCAATAGTTTGGGAATCTGAAACCAGTATCGAACTCTGAAGATTTTCTCTTTCCAAAAACTACTTAAACTATTTCTGAAGTCTCCGGGATTCATGAGATAATTTGCGTTGGGGATTAGTTGGGGAACACTCCGAACTGTTTGGTCCGTTTTCTGTGTATGGTTTCAAGCGTGTTCGAATAGCCTGAAATACATGTAGAACGTATCCTGTGGTGGAGCAGGAGCAGGATGTGGTTTGTTTAGCGCCAATCATGCTAACTTTGGATGCGCCGCGCACTGAGGTCCGCGCAGAGGTGATGGGATGGTGCAATTTGTGCGTAATGTCTGTCCACGCGAGCAAATGTGTCTATAGGATTCAGGGAGGTCCATGGCGAACCTGTGCACTTGTTTACAGTGTTTTCGCGTATGATGGAACATGTCCCTGTCGACGCCGCCAGATTCGTGCTCCGCCAATTGCTGATTCCGATAAAGGAGACCAACTGCTGGAAAACGTCTGATACGAACGATATGGTAGTCGTTGTCGAAAAAAACAGGTTGGCTCAGCGCCAAGCGCGATCGCGGACACGCCCCATCATCCGCAGCGAACCAGAGTATGAGTTGTACTGTTTAGTCACTTACGAGATGATGTCGACTTTTTATATTTCCAGTTATTTCAGATTAGTTTGATGAATGAAAGTTTTGTACTATTTTTTTTACATATCCGAGTTCTCTACAAAGCAAGCTTCGCTGTACAGTACTCAGCACACTGACGCTCGTTACTGGCTACCGCACTCATTACGACCCCCCCCCTCTCCTGGCGGCCAAATACGACCCCCCTGTTGGGGATTCCCCAACCAACGATGTGTCCTGGTCCAGACCTCGACAACGAAAAAGTCTGTGCGTGTTCTATCACACCCATTGTAGAAGGAAATCAGGTGAGGGTCACTTATGCTGAATTTCGTGCTCACGATAGCAAGACTAAGGGCTTCTGCTTCCAGTGGGATGCGCCGGCCATTGAAATTACGCGCGATAATGACAGCGTCTTTTGACGGTGTTTCAGCTGTTTTCTCCTCAAGCAAAACCAGAGCTCAGTCGTCGATGGTCTGATTATTTGCGGTAAACTCACATGCGTCCCTTCAACGTACCAGTATTTAAGAACACAGTTCCGATTTCCCATACGCTGTGAGATTTTCGGACAAGCTTAGTTTCCTCTCCCCACTTCCCCCTCGCCCCCGATACCGTTCTTGCACCAGAAATCCTCGGGTACTTTCCACACGCTCCGGGCCTTACGAGTTTGCGCTACCTCCTGCGGACATCTTAACATCACTTATAGTTCATGTGGCATGTTAGTCATGTTATATCATGTTTAACATCATGGACAAGTTTTTTTACACCTTGTCAATGCGCATCTTGGTTAATTGTTTTTTTACCGATGGAGCACCTTGAGTGCAACCTCGATAAATGAATAAATAAATAAATAAACAAATGAATAGATAAATAATGTGTTTCTAGCTCAGCTTGTCACGAAGCTCTCCCACCTGCATTGAAATGTCCTCTACAGCTCAGCCCACAGAAGCGGGTCCTTCCCAGCGCCACCTCGTGGCGGAACGGATTACGCCACATGCAGTACTCATATTCAAATGGAGCTATTTCGATATAACAACCATTACTAATAGGGCACTTCTAGGTAAACGAGAATATACAGCATATACAGCAAATTGACTACTGCGATGGTCCCTAATACTTCGTGGTTACTGACTTCAAGATTGAATACAGGAAAACCACAGATTTCGGACAAGCCGATGCATTGTCACGACTGATTGCCGACCAGAAGGAGCAAACCGAAGATATCATCATTGCAAACGCCTCAAATGATGCTGAATTCGAATGCAAGGCTGTGAAAGCACAGATTCCCATGGACATGAATCAGATCGCAGAAGAAAGTCTTGCAGACAATACGCTGAAGAACGTGATCCAGTACGTTCGTGAAGACAAATGGCCAAAGAAACCCCCACCGGAGATCAGATCTTACTTCAGTCTCCGCCAGTCTCTCTCGCTCCAAGACGACTGCCTTTTCTTTGGACCAAGAATTGTAATTCCGGCGAAGTTCAAGGACCGTGTTCTGAAACTTCTACACGAAGGACACCCCGGAATGTCAAGAATGAAGAGCCTAGCCCGCTCATATGTCTACTGGACAAATATCACCAAGGTCCTTGACAGCTACTGCAGGTTCGAACATAGAAGATTATGTTCGAACCTGCAGTAGCTGTCAAGAAGCGGCAAAAGCACCAGTCAAGACACAACTGTTCTCCTGGCCATACGAAAAGAAACCATAGATATCTCGAAATGTTAGTTTCAGACAATGGAAGCAAATTCACATCATTGGAATTCGAGAACTTCTGCAAAACGAATGGGATCGTCCATATACGCAGTCCACCGTACCATCCACAATCGAATGGACAAGTCGAAAGATTCGTCGACACTTTCAAACGTGGACTGGAAAAGCTGAAGGAATCCGAAGCAACAACGGAGGCCGTACAGAAATTCTTGCTGTCCTACCGCAGCACACCGTGCTCATCTTCACCCGAAGGACGATCACCGGCAGAGAACTTCCTAGGACATCGTCTCAGAACGCCTCTCACTCTTCTGACGACACCTAGAAGCGTACCGACGGCGCGCAACGAAGACATGGAAGAATCAGTTCAACAGACACCATGGAGCCCGCATGAAATCCTTCAAGCCGGAAGATCTCGTCTGGGTGAAAGCATTCCAAAGAGGCAGAAAGAAATGGATACCAGGAAAGATCCTCAACTGCCGCGGAAATACAGTATACGACGTCCTCGTGAATGAAGCCGTGGAATGTCGTCATGCCAATCAACTACGTCCACGCATGGCTGCCACACCAGAGCAGACATCACTGGAAAGCTACGACTTATCACCTGAACCAGGCACAACGTGCGAAACCGTCGTCTCCAGAAACCAGTGACTATGGCAACACCAGATGCAACAATCAACTGTTCAGATTCAGAAGCTTCATCACTGGAGAAGAACCACACCGCTCAAAGAACGCCCACAACGCAACCGCCGACCGCCGAGCCGACTCCAAGTCGAAGGGTTGTCGTTGTATTTGAAACTCCCACCATTGCATCTTAGGGGGGAGGTGTTGTGGTAGACCGCTCAATGTTTATGAGGTCACTGTCCTAAGTGATAATCTGAGCGGTTGTTTACATTCATTGTGTTATGCAGTGATAGGTCATCTTGGGTCTATAAAAGACCCTCTGTGCGGTGTGATGTCAATTGTCGTCTCGTGTGCTAATGAAGCACTTTTGTCCGAAGTCGTAGGAATCCCTACGGTAGTACGAGTAAACTATAATGTTCATAAAGGTTACAACTGTGACAACGGTAAATAAGCGAGAGTCTCAATACATGGGGTCTTACCGCCCATTCAACCGCTTAGGCGACAAGGATCAGGGTACCCAACCCTACCTACACATGGTCTAAGGTACACGCAATTACCCACGCAATACACAACACTGACATATATAAAACGATGGCAATACCAACACATTGATCACAACTACACATTTTTTGAAGCAGTTTTGTTATGATAACTGCTGTTTAACGCCGCAGTACGCGTTCCGAATGTTATCACAAGAATGCTGAGTTGTGGGCAAAAGTCGTGCCCCAGGCGGGAGTCGAACCCGCACCTCACGCTTTCCGGGCGAGTGCGCTATCCGTTACGCCACCAGGGCCGCTTTTACCCTCTCAGCTTAACGGCTTTTATGCCGTAGCCTATCAGCACTCACACGTTTAACTTGGTGAGCCGGTCAGCCGTAATCGATGGGATATCGGCATGAAACCGCGAGGCCTAAGGCTTTAGATGTTTTTGAAGCTGTTTTGTTATGATAACTGCTGTTTAACGCCGCAGTATGCGTTCCTCCTCCACGTGCCTCCCACCTGGGGCATGACTTTTGCCCACAACTGATACATTCTTGTGATAACATTCGGAACGCGTACTGAACGTGTGAGTGCTGATAGGCTACGGCATAAAAGCCGTTAAGCTGAGAGGGTAAAAGCGGCCCTGGTGGCGTAACGGATAGCGCACTCGCCCGGAAAGCGTGAGGTGCGGGTTCGACTCCCGCCTGGGGCACGACTTTTGCCCACAACTCAGCATTCTTGTGATAACAACTACAAATTGTAAATGATTATATTTACTACACGAAATACTCACCACTCTACAATAGATGTTCTCTCCCTGGTCGCCGATCTCATGGGCTTCGTTCCATAGCTGACTGCGCAATAGGCCCCCTGGGCTCTGCCCCTCTAACTACGCAATAGGCCTGCACGGCTTCGTCTCCCCCCCCCCCTTGTACGCAATATGCCCCCATCTTGCCGACGGTACTCCTCGATGCTCCATGCGATCGTCGATGTCCTCGTCGGGGCTGGAGTAGAGGCTGCTCCCAGTCGGGGAGCAGGGGATGGACATCGGCCGGCTCATGGCCGGCGCTCGGGCTGCCTCCAGCTTCGGAGTGGACTTCACCCCTCCACCTTCGGCGCTGTCACCGCGTTACCCGGTGAAAACCGACCGGCCGCCGGCTGCCAGCCGTCGAACGTACTATACTGACCACCGCAGGGGGCGGAGCCACGGCGCACGTGAATCGCACGTCGTCGGGAACCGAGAACGGATGGGCCGGGGCGCGAAGTGCGCCAAACGGCGATCGTCGCATCCGCAACAGGGGCGAGAATGGTGATTACGGAATCCACCTTCACGACAGGTTTTGCTTCGTATCTTGGTCACGGAGACGAATCAGCCCTTTCCTTTTACCCTGAACTGTGCTCCTAAGCTGAAGTTTACGGTGCATGCCGTCCATTCCTTATCCGTACTTTTCTGCTGCATTTCTCTCGCCGGAATCGGTGCTACTGTGATCGACCTCACCAGCTGCAGACGATCAAACCATTACCATTACATCTTTTCCATGCTTCTCGCTACTTTGGCTTGGCAAATGCTGAGGAGCGTGATTTTGTTTAGCCAGTGACCGTACCGCCGTCCGCTGTCGTACATAATCCATTTTTCATTACATGTAACAACTCAGTCTGAAAAGCCCATCCCTTCGTGGCGTAAAACTAAGGCAGAGGTCCGTAATTAACAATAATAAATGAGCGAAAGTACCCACCATCCGGGCAACTTCTCACTTCCACCTAGAAGCTGCAACTATGTTGAAAAGAACTATTGGGTTGGCACATAAGTAATGGCGTTTTTTCAATTGAAAATTTTGTTCCAAAAGTGAAATGTTTTGCAAGCAAGCTTGATATCATCTGATAGGAAACTTCTCGTAGTATAGAATATCAAAACAGCTTCGGTTGAGGGAATAATTTTTGTGAATTTTTTAGTCGTTGAAGTTGAAAGTGAAGTCGGCGAAAATTAGCACCTTCGACAACTGCCTCTATTTACGTCTACTCGAAGTGCTAAAATCGCTTAAGCTGCTCCATACATTTGGAAAAGGTTGAGCTAGAAGTCTCAGCAAGGGAATCTCAATAGGACGCTTTGGAACGAATTTCAAGAATTTCAAAGTTGCCAACCTTCACCTCGCCGATATTGGGCAGCTCACGTCTGTTCCACCTGAAATTTTATGCTAATAGTTGAATGTTTCGCTGATATGTTTTGCATGTTCTGATAGCAAATTTCGTGCTCTATAACACTGCATGGAAATCTGTTCTCCAGAGCTGTTTACTTTCTGTTAATTTCAGGTTATCATTACGGAACGTGAGGTCGATGAGAATTCCCGATTTCCACGAATTTTATGCTAATAGTTGAATGTTTCGCTAATGTGTTTTGTATGCTCTGATAGCAAATTTCGTGCTCTATAACATGCGGTGCAGTTATTTTGAAAATCCGTTTGATTTCCTTGTTTTTCAGGTTGGTTCAGGATTTTTACCGAGAAGGCTGATCGGTGGGAGGAGGTTGTAAGAAACAATGGGGAATATATCATTGACTAGTTTATTGTAAATATCTATATTTTTTATAGTGTTGTAAATACTGTGTTTAAATTTACTAAGGAAAACAAAATCGTGAGGTATGGGTCGACCGGATGTCTGCAAGGTCAACGTTGTCGGTTGTGCTTTTTTCCAGAATCAATTGTGAGCCGTCCTAATACTAATCTGTTACTCTATGCCTTACTCAAACCATGGCGATTCTATTGAGCTGCTCTAGGAGCTTTGAAGCTTCCGTGGACAGCGGTAGGGAGAGGAAGTCGGGAACGCTAATTCTCATCGACCTCACGTTCCGTAATGATAACCTGAAATTAACAGAAAGTAAACAGCTCTGGAGAACAGATTTCGCAGTGTTATAGAGCACGAAATTTGCTATCAGAACATGCAAAACATATCAGCGAAACATTCAACTATTAGCATAAAATTTCAGGTGGAACAGACGTGAGCCTGCCCAATATCGGCGAGGTGAAGGTTGGCCAACTTTGAAATTCTTGAAATTAGTTCCAAAGCGTCCTATTGAGATTCCCTTGCTGAGACTTCTAGCTCAACCTTTTCCAAATGTATGGAGCAGCTTAAGCGATTTTAGCACTTCGAGTAGACGTAAATAGAGGCAGTTGTCGAAGGTGCTAATTTTCGCCGACTTCACTTTCAACTTCAACGACTAAAAAATTCACAAAAATTATTCCCTCAACCGAAGCTGTTTTGATATTCTTATACTACGAGAAGTTTCCTATCAGATGATATCAAGCTTGCTTGCAAAACATTTCACTTTTGGAACAAAATTTTCAATTGAAAAAACGCCATTACTTATGTGCCAACCCAATAGTTTGCCTTCATTGTACTTGTACATTGTACAGATGTGGTGTGTTCCGTGGCCGTGTGGTTTCTAGCGTCTTTGAAATCGAAGTCTATTATTCATTGACAAGAACAAGGACCTCTTACTTGTTTTCCAACTAGTCGGCTCGCCGGCTGGTGCCTCGTTCTGTTATACGGCCCTGCTTTGCGTGATGATCGCGGCTTCCCCGCGCTTACCTTCATCCACATGTTTGTATACCTAATTAATATCCGGGTTCTCTTTTATCTGAACAGATGACCAACGCTCCTTGACCAATAACATCATACCTGCCATTTTCAACACTATTACTGTGCATGGAATTGTGGTAAGGAGCGTTGATGAAGTGCAGAGATGAGAGAAGCCGAGTATCGAGTCGTTCATTTGAGCGTACGAAAGCAGGTAGGCGAGTCGAGGCCAGGCCCGCCCGGTAAGGCCGGGCCGTATCACAGAAGAGGCGCGACGACGTCAGCCGGCGAGCCGACTGGCAGGATGTATCTACGACGACCGGTTGGTTAAGTGTATGGCTGCGTGCACTAAAGCTCAGTAAAAATAGGCAGCTCGTCCTTGAGGGCACGCACAGCCCTCTGTGGGCGGGTTTTCATACACCACAGACATACTCAACTTCCGCCTCATGTCTCTTTTCTTCAGCGGCTTTTTCTGATCTCTAAAGTCATTCAGGTCCGAATTGTGAAGTTCTGTAGCACCGCTCATCCCGCGTACGGCTCGCCCATTTTGAGGATGACCGCCCCATTCCATCCACTAGCTTCTTGTGAACTCCAGTCCACGTGTCCCGGTGTTGATTGCTGCTTTGCAATCAATTCGTGAATTTTTGACTTTTCCCCTCTCACCTCGACACCTGCTTCGCCCACAATGGGTGTGCCTATCTCACTTCACTGTTAAGGTTTGCACAGCTTTGCTCACATCTCGCCGGTGTTTGGACTGCTTCGGGAACTTTTAACACGTTGACGACACTCTGAGCCACCGGTGATTCAGCCACGTGGGAAAATTTGAGCCACCGGTGGCTCATAACTTCCTCCACGAAAAGCAGAAAATTTCAGGAAAATTCTTGGAAACAGAAGTTATGGCACACATTTTGGAAATCACGATCGCGCTAAAAAGTGGGCGTGATCGCAGAGGGCGGGGCATGAGATGGCATCCAATAGGGTCAAGGATGGTTGAAATAGCAGTCCCTGCACGATTGACTAATCATTTTGCGAAATTTGACATAGCGGCAAAAAAGTGGTCCACGAGGGACAATATGAGCCACCGGTGGCTCAAAGCGGACGCATGCGAAAGCACGCCATTGTCCCACGCGGCGCTTTCCCGCAAAACGCGATTGTCGTCAACGTGTTATTAATCCACTTTTCCCGGTGTCTGGAGTGCTCTGGAAGCGTTTAACAGATTTTTTAATTTGGCTTCGCCCACCTCAGCGCACGCTCCGCCCAAAACGGGTGTATCTCGCATTTCTCAACCGGCGACCGCTTGGAGACCATGATCCACTTTTTTTTGCGTCGCCTGCAGTGCCCTAGACCAAATACGATTTTTTAAAATCAGAACTTTATGTTCAAGGCCACGCCCCTCCCACAGCATACCGCAGATATGGCTGACTCTCGCCAGATGTTTATCTTCGCTATGGACTTTTTTGCTATCTGCGAATTTCCTCGGGGACCGAGTTACCGACATCTGTGAAGCACCGCCCATCTCGAGTACGCTTTCGGGCGTGCCTCCTCCATTCTATGCCTTTACTAACCTTATCCCTATTTTCCCCCATCTTGGAGCTGCTCTGTAACCGAATTATTTTTCATCGACACAGGAAGCGCCGACCATTTCGGGGGGGGGGGAGGTCTTCTCTTTTTGATGGGTCAACCCTTTGCTAACCTTATTCCACTTTCCCCCATCTCGGGACTTTTCTGGAGCCAAATTATGAATTTTTTGGGTGACATCGCCAACTTACGGCGCACACCCCCTGGGGGGGGCTTACTATGGGACGAGTGCTATTTACATCTTGTCCCACCCTACCCATCC